CTTTTCCCGTATGGCTCCTTGTGTTTACATGCCCGAAACGATAAAGGACCCGATCGATAGGGTCTGGGGACTCTGCAGAAGGGGCTGTCGGCAGCAGGGGCGGCAGCCTTGGCCTGTGAGCTCATCCGTATGTGTGTTTTGCGAGATCATGAGACCTAGGAGAGACCGGTGTGGGAAAGATAAATATTCCTGTAGTGCGTCTAAATGGGCTTTCTTAAAAGGGCAGCGGTGTTCAAAGCTATTAGGAGCCCCGGCCGGCCTGCCTGTGCCTTCGGACGGGCACCTGGGAAGGGAGGAGAGGAGCAGCAGCGGTGCCCAAAGTGAGTCTGGTTCTGCTGCCTGCTGCTGCAACGGATTCTCCTCTTCTTCCCATTTAATCTCTTCTTCAAACGTCTTACGAACGCTTGGCATTGCAGAGGAAAGCGCCGTGTAAAAACGAACGAAAAAGCTAAAGGCATTGTTCTTAATGACAAATGGGTAATTTGTTTTACTCTCGTTGAACGTAAGATGATATTTTCTGCAGTTTACTGAGTGTAGTTAGTGATCTCCTAGACTGTCACTGAGCTGTAGTTAAACAGAATAACGATGAACTTGAAAACTCTTGTGTAAGCTTTCCTTTGCTTTTCCTGCCTTAAAAAGACCTTTTCAGAGTAATATCTGCCTGGTAGGTGACGTCTTACTGCTTTGTCTGTTGTACGTAAGGCTGCAGAACTTGTATAGATTTTACATTACTTAATTAAGGGTCTCGGCGATGTGAAAAAATACCATTCTGAACCTAGTTTGTGGTGCCTAGGAGTTGTAAAAGCAGAGCACTGAGGCTTCTGGTGTATACAAGTGCAGGGGCTGGTTTACAAACATTGTTGATTTGTTTTCTCATATTATTTGACTGTACTAAGATATTTACACTATGAACACCTCAAGTTTGTAGGAAGAAAAATGCACATGTCATATTCCTACTGGTGTTAAAACTAGAAGTGGACTTTGAGTGACATGGGAAGTTTAACAGTGAGCTGCTAACAGAGCCAGACTCAGCATAACTGAATGTTGAGCTGTGCGAATGCCATTGGGATTTTACATCTCAGCATTTCTTTTCCACTTTGCTCTCTCTGAACTGGATATTAGAGATTAGGACCCTGGAAATGGCAGTGGTTGACTGCTTGAGGTACGGGATGCTCTTGCTCTGCATATTTTCCAGCTGAAAGTTTGTACCAATTATAATCAAGGCATAATTTTTGCAGGGTCTCAATAACTGTAAACAAAAATTTGAAGAAGAAAATGAATGAAATTGGAAGATAATTCAAGCAGGTGTTAACATAGTGCTCAAGGTTCGGTGGAATTTTGTATCCGTCTGTTTTAAACTGGTTGGTACCCGTGGCTTCGGTGCCTCTGTTGCTGACAGTGTATGTTACTTTGGGGAAATCTACCTCCTGGCATGAAAAGATTAACATAATGCATGTGAGATTAAAGAATTTTGCTGGTAAAACTTCCTCTTCCTCCTTAACATATATGCAATGGGCGTGCTTAAGTTACATATTTAGAGGATTAAAATACACAGCTCATACTGCTTTGGGACAAGAATCTAATTACTATGTTCTGCTGATTTTTTTTTCTTAAGGAGAAGGGAAAACTATTATAAAGTTTATTAAAAGTATGATGGAAAGATTTGCTTTGTGAGCAGCTTACTAGTGATTCTCTAAAACCTGTGTAAGGAGGGGAAAAAGGGCTTTCTGCAACAGCTTTGAACTCTGGTTCTGTTTTTTTAATGTGAGAGTATGCTTTGTTAAAAAGCTCCTAGCTGTCTGAATGTCTCCCTTTCTACGTGTTTGGTATGTATTTTATGACTAGCAAATGTTAAGGTTTCATTACAGAAACTTTTTTACCATCATGGTTGGGGATGTTTCTACTGAGCCGTAATATGGAGAATGGTTTTCTCCAAATCAAAGTAATTAGTTGGGCTAATGCACTTGAATTCCAATCTTTCTTCCTGCCCCCCAAAAGAATGAGGTGTGTGTGAAGAGGCAGTGATACTATGATTTGATGATAACGACAAAATAGTTCTTTTGGTCTTTCAGTTGTGTTTCAGTGGGCGTTTTATGTTAGAAGTCACATTGCATATTGTTTGGGTACTGGGTTTTGAACTATGCTATGTGTTTGCGTTGATATACCATATGATAAACTGTCATCTTGGAAAGTAATTGTAAGAATTAGGTGTCGACTAGGAAAATCAAATGACTTCAGTTTTGATAGCAAATAAAATAATCTCTAGTCTTATCAGCAGTTCTAATAATATTCAGCCATACTTTCTGATAGAAAGGGTTTTATCCAATTTCTTCACATATGAGCAACGCCTGATTCAGTACTGAATAATTGGGGGGGGGTTTAATTTCAGTTCAACATCTTAAAATATTTTGCCTATAACATGAAATTGGAGAGCATGTTTCTGAGTGAAAAAGAATGGGAACCTTTTTCTTCCTGTAAGACTTTATATGGGTAAAACTCAGTTACCCTGGCAAACTTTTATTTTTTAAGTTGAGAAGTACAGGAGACAGAAGCAAATGACCATCACAAATGCTGATGCTGCTTTTTTCTCTGTGATGAGATTATTATGATCCTAATATAATTTAAAAAGCTATTTGTAAACCTGTGGGTTTCTTCATCATATGAAAGATAACTGCCTAATTAAAAAAAAATAAAATCTTCATTGTAACTTCTCAGCAGCTGTTGGACTTCTTAAGCTCTTTACAAATAGTTTGTAGCAGTGAGATCACAAGCAGAGCCCAGTCAGAACCCAGTTTCAAGGACTTTTTTGGTGAGATTTGTACATACAGCTATTAATCTTTCATATTATTTTCAAGTTTACACGTAAGGGCAGCTAAATCGGCATTCTCTCCAGACTAAGCTGTCCCTAGTTGCCAGTGAGAACTTTAATGTTCTTATTTAAGCCTGGTGTAGGTAGTTGTCCATTAACTCTAGGAATGCACAGCCCTAATAGAGAATATTGCATGTGAAAAGCAAATTGAGGTTGCACTATCATTCCTGGGACAGAAATAATGTCTGACCATCCCCTTTGGTTTTTGGAAGCCTGGTGGGTGCAGCTCTGCCTCTGGTTTAAACTGACCTAGCAATTAAACGTGTACCATGCCATCTCCTGCATTGCCGTTAGTGTTCGTGGCGAGTTGGATCAAAAAACTGATCCAGCGGGAAGTAATCTGACCATCACTTCTCTTCCCTCCCCAAAATTTTGTAATGCATTGGTGGGGAGGAGGAAGAGAAGAGGGACGTTTGTACGTGTTCGAATTCTTCTGTTAGATTAATTTTATTCTAAAATAGCAAGTACTATAGAAGCACTTCAAGGTTGGGCAGAGGGGTGGGGGAAGACAGTGCCTCATTCAAGGAAGAGTCTGTGGGATTGATCAGAGAAGGTGAGGATAGTTGATGGGGAAGGATTACTCTTTGGTGGGGTGAAAGTGAAGTAACACCGCTACTTTCTGGCTGTTTAATGATACTTACATAATGGATTTTGAAAACAGTCCACGTCCAAGTAACAATATACCATAACAGGGAGAACAAGGATTGAACAACTTTATTACCATTTCAGATTATTGCTTCAGATCATGTTGAAACACTGGTTAGCTGTACTGTGGGAGTATTTCTTCCGCTAAGTGATAAACAAACTTACGGCTCATATCTGTTAATTCAGCACCTTGAATTCAGCATATAGAAGTCTGTCATTTGAAAGAAATTCTTAATATTTTACTTTTTAATTTTTTTTTTGTTTGAAAATACATGAATAATTTGGAAGGCTAAGGTTCTTTTCCTAAGCACAGGGAAGAAAATTTAATTGATAATTAATTCATTGCCAGATTTTTAATTATTTTTAAGGTAGTTTCCTAGCGCCTGTGGCCCTTGCTGGGGTAGTATCCTTCTAAGCACTGTGCAAGTACCTAACAAACCACTGTTCCTTTGAAGTTAAATGATTTAACTTCCCAATGATTAAATCTTATGCTATCTAGAAATACAAGAGTTTCTGCTTTTTTGGGATGTTGAAATAATAGGCATCTTATGTTTCCTTCATTTAGAAAAAAAAAAATCTCCCGTCAGTAGGCCTGCCCGTTGCATGTGTTTGGAAGATCTTTGGAAAATCTCAGAAAACTTCTTAAATTGTCCCTCACAATATAGCATGCATGGTTCCTTAGTATATTATTTATACTTGAACTTCATTTATAAAGAGTAGTTTGTGATTGTTGGCAGTTCTGGCTGCACACAGCTACGCACATAATTTACTAGCATTTCTTTTAAATATAGCTCTGTTGGCCAGTGGTTATTCTTTTCCACTGATTAGCCCGAGGCATTCTTTCAGAAGCTGTTTTCCTGAAATAAAGAGTTTTAATGCTGCTTCCTCGGTATCTCTCCAGCCAGTGCAACATTCTTCCACTTTGCCTTGCTGGTTCTATCATACTTTTTCATTTAGTTCCCCCTTACCGTTCCCCTTCACCATGCCCTCGGTCGTTCCAGGCACTTTGAGAATAAATTTTAAAACTACTCCCATACTCCCATACTGTGCTTGTACTTCCCATTGAAAAGTGTGATATAGAGCAATTATATGAATTATATTTTATTTATTTATTGTGTTACTGTTTGTGATTTTTATATTTATTTACAACTTTTTTGGGAATAAGTGTTGCAGCTGCTATTGTTGCATTTTCTATGAAATTGGTAATGTCTGAATTTTGACTAATACAGAATTGTGCACGTTCCCAAGCACATACCAAGACAGTTCAGACTTGCTAATGGGATCTGAGGCTTGATCTCACCCCTTTTCACTGGCACTCCAACATCTGTTTCTAACAGTGGAAATAAGAGGCACAACTTTTTAAAATTTCTTTCCTCTCCTGGAAGGCCGCACATGAGAAACTTTAGTATTGTTGTACCTAGTTTGCAGGCCTCGTGCTTTTAGTGAAGTAGGTTTGAGAATTAGTGATGTGGTGAGAGCTGTGCCTTCGCTTCTAATAGCAGATGCTGTTCTGGAGAGTCATCTCGCAAGGGGATATTTTTGTTAGAGATATTTTCAGGGCAGCTGTGAGAGGTGAAATGGACTTGAGAAATCAGATAAAGCGTACGCCTCCAGTCCCTCCAGCCACGGACTGCAGTGGATGAGGTAATCACCAGGTAAGGCACTGCATCTTTCTAGATTCTCCATTGGAAAAGGTCAGGTTTGGGCCAGTACATATCTATGTATGTTACTTTTTAAAGCACAAATTTCAGTTGAAGAGCACAAAGACTTACAATGCCATCCGCCGGGGAAATCCTGGAAAAGAGC